GTGATGGGGGCCGCGGCAGGCTTTGGGATGGCGGTTGCGGCCGTTGGCAGTGTCTGCCGGGCGTTGTCCATTCAGGGCTGCGTGACCCCCCGGGGCTCCGCTCCCCATCAGGGTCCCTCTCCCGGGGTTCCGTGTCCCCTAGGGCTCTGTCCGCGGGTCTGTGTCTCCTCGGGGCCTGTCCCTTAAGGTATCAGTCCTGTCCCCCCTTGGATCTCTGTCCCCTGGGAGTTTGGGCCCCCTTCCAGTGCTTTTGCTGCTGGTGCCGGGCAGGAGTTTCCTGCGGGATGAGCTGTGGGATGGGCAGTCCCTCCGGGATGAGGGTGGCCTGAAAGGGCCCCACAGGAGGTGCATGGGGGCCTGGTGGGCAGTGTGTGGCCAGGTGGGAGCAGCCAGCAAAGGGCTCTCTGGGTTTTGTCAGCAAACCCCTCTCCCCTAATGCCTTCTGCCGGTGTGAACGTGTGGAAAGAAATCATACTGCTTTTCTGTATTTTTTTTTTCTCCTCTCATGTCTATATCAAGGAATCTCTGTCCAGGCTGTTCTTTAGCTGTGGGCATGTTCAGTCTGTGGACATCTGTGATAAGCCAGAAGTAGCAGAGAAAACAGACACACTCAAGTCCAAGTTCTTCAACCCCAAAACAACAAAGGTAAAGCTTAGGGGAAGGGACTGATGCTTTAGCAGTGAGAACAGGAAGAGATCTCAAGTGTTAGATGGTGCTTTTTGAAATGTAAGATATGGGAAAAACATTTTGGGGGCTTTGGTGGCATGATTACTTAAATTTGTTTTCTTTTTTGCTCTTTTAGTGCAATCTGTGGTTCAGTTTAATTAATCGATTTATTCATGGTACTGCAGCTACTTGCAGTGTCACCAGTTCCCAGATTTACCTGACTGGCCTGCGGGCTCCTTTCTTTTAGGGTTTCCGAGTAGCATATGTGGTGTTCAGGAGCCCAGCTGGTGTCCAGGCAGCCAAGGCCCTGGCGCAGAGAGGTCCCTTGCTGATATCAACAGAGAGTCATCCTGTGAAAACTGGCATTAGCAGTAAGTCACTCCTTGGTATCTCCCTGTTAACCAATGCAGGGAAAAGCTATGCTTCTTCCTTAGTGAATCCTATGCTATGTATTGCAAATTAATTCCCACCACTTTATACAAAGACTGAATGGGAAGCCATCCAGTGTTTTCTTCTCCTTTTCTTACTGTTAAGGTAGTTGTCTAATTCTAGTGAAAGCTGTGGAATACAGATCTGTGTCCCTATGGGAGGAAAGGCTCACTCGGTTCAATGGAGGGACAGTTTCTCCCCCTCGCTCCTCAGTACTGTATAGAGAGGCTGGCTGGGGCTTGCCCTGGGCTTGGGAGCCAGGCTCACTAACAGGCACGAGGTGTTCGTCAAGATGACAAGACTTTGGGTGGAACCTCTTTGCAGGAACAGCCCTGAATGTTGGGCTTGAGGATGCCCTGCTCTTGCCTGAGAAGTTACAAGCTCTTCCCAGTGCTTAGTTGTTTACAGGCCAAGGCCTGGGCCATGTCAGTTGTTTGTGAAACAGTTCAGTGGGGTGGCTGAGGGTGGATGTAAATGGGCTTTGACCCTACATCAGTTTCCCCCAGAGAAGCTCAAAGGCCTCACATCTATCAGAGATTACTGCTGACTTCTGTCCTCCCTGTCACAGAGTGGATCGCCAGCTACGCGGCCTCGGTGGTGGATCGTGAAGAGCTGAAGGCTGAGGTGGATGCCTTCATGCAAGACTATGACAAACAGATAGCAGAGGTGAGGCCAGGCTGGGGAAGAGACCAGGGAAGCAGTTTGGGGGCAAAGAAAAGAGAGAGGGTCTCTCACTGCACAGAAGCTCCACTGGAGATGGTGCAGAGGGGGACACACTGCTGGGCAGGAGTGTTCACCTCTGTTTGCTGGTGGGTAGTGTCTGTAGACCAGGTCCTGGTTTGGCTTGTAGTGCCTCATCCTTCACTCGAGACTTACAGGAGGTGCCCACAAACACACTGGACCCTGTCTGGCATGTGATAGTGACTGAGGCTTGCCTGGCCCTGTGCTTGGTCCCAAGGTCCTCTGTCCTGTGCTCTCCTTCACATCTTGTGCAGAAGCAAAAGAGCTCTAACCAGGCATGTTGAGTGTAAGGGGGCTGTGGGAGCTGGCAGCACGTTTCCAGCCTTTCCCTTCTGTATTTTTAGGAAGAAGCCAAAGCGGCAGAGGAGGAGGGCGTTCCGGATGAGGAGGGCTGGGTGAAGGTGACACGCAAGGGCCGGAAGCCTGGCCTGCCCCGGACGGAGGCTGCCAACCTGCGTGTGCTGGAGAGGGAGAGGCGGAAAAGGGCCCGCAAAGAGCTGCTCAACTTCTATGCCTGGCAGCACCGTGAGACCAAGAGGGAACGTGAGTGCTTCTGTCTCCTCTTACACCTTCCCATGTCTCTTTTCTCTCGTATTGTGGCCTTAAGAGCAGCATTTTTCTTCCAAGGGTTGCTGTAGGTGACTAGTTAACTGTGGTATGTGAATGGTCTCTCCAGGTCTTGTGGGCTGCATGCCACCCCCTGGCCTGGCAGGGGTGGTGTGAATGTTTTGAGAGAGTTGGAAGAATATGGCTTATGCAGGCAGCACAGAAGCACAACAGGTTGGGGAAGCTGAACCGTTCCCCTCCTCAAGAGGGAGCTGCAGCACTGCAGGTGATGAGTGGCTGGCGCCACAGCCCTGCCCTGAATGGATCAGCTTTGGGAAGGGTGTCTTAGTGCGTGCTGGGACTGAACCACTTCCAGTGTGTACAGGGCTGACGGGAGCAGCTGGGGCAAAGCTCCCTAGGGAGGTGGAACTCTGCTGCCCTCCTGTGTGACTTGTCCTCTCCCTCCTGTCTGTTGCAGACATTGCCCAGCTGCGGAAGAAGTTTGAGGAGGACAAGCAGAGAATTGCGCTGATGCGAGCCCAGCGCAAGTTCCGGCCGTACTGAGCCGTGCTGGAGCGTTTCCTCGGCTGCTTGTGCTGGACAGGGAGGGACAGGCGTGTATGGATCCCATGTGCCAAAGGGTTTCAAAGAACTGAAGCAGCTTCAGGTTGTTCCTGCCATCGGATCTGAGGTGGGAGATCCCAGGACCGAGACACTGACATCTCCTGCTCTCTGGCCATGTCTGCACTGCTGTTGTCCAGCCCTGGGGCGCTGCTTCCAGAATGCACAGGGCAGAGGAGGCTGAAGCCTTCCCCGTGCCAAATGATATCTTCCTGCCACCAAGACCTTCCTAAACCTTGGTGAGAGCCAGAATTCACGCAGTGCAGCCTTTGCAGGGACAGGGAATGACTGAAGAACTGTAAATAAACTGCTACTATTATCCTAAAACACAAGAATGCCTCTCTCCCAGCCCTACTCTGAAACAGCCCTGTGCACGGTGTGATGGTGGTAACAGCCATGGCCTCTGGTGGTTGTCCTTTGCACAGGACAGGCTGATACTGTCTGAGGGTGGGGAAGAAGAGGAAGCATGTGAGCTTGGCCAAAGCAAAGTTGGGATGTTTCCAGCTTAGTTGTGCCAGGCAAAGTTCAGTGGTTTGATGCAGAGCACTGCTCTTGCCCTCAGTATTTCCTCCCCAGGCAGCTCCTCTTTTCAATAGATTTTGCACCTCTATCTCTACTGCTAGCTCTGGGCTGGGCTACAGGAGCTTCTGCTCCTTGGCAAGTTCACAAGAACAAGGTGAGATGGCAGCCTGGCTTTGGCAGAGGAACCCCATCCCTTCTGAGGCTGTGTTCAGCTTAAGCTGTCACCTGTCTACAAGAGGAAGGTAAGGATGGCAAGGGGACATCCAGGGCACTGCTTCTGCTCATGGCACATGGGCCTTAAAGACTGGTCACCGTCGTGCTCCGTGACTGCCGGGATCAGAAAGGTGCAGAAACTCCCCAGCCTTACACATTCCTGCCTCAAGAGTGTATAGAAGGGAGAACATCAGTACAGGAAGGAAACCTTGATCGAGTTCACAGAGCCTTGTTCAAATGCATTGACCCTTCTGTGGAAAACAGGCCAAAATGCAGTGTCCAGGGCAGCAGGCCACAAGGCCTTCTTGCTCCAACTAGCTTTGCATCAGCCTGGGAAGCAGATGGAAACTTAACGTGCAACATCTGAAACAGAATGCATGGAGAATCGCTGCCTTCCCTTTAGATTAGCACGTTAGCTGCTTGGGTGAGCATCCCCAAAGAAGAGAGGTTCACTCTCACATGTAATCAAGAAGATAGTATTAGCAGTGAGTGATCAATCTTTACTTAGAGGGACAGAAATCATCTCCACCAATTTTCCCATTACTAATAGTTCTCCCAGCTGCTTTGGCTGGAGGATTAATTACTCATACCCTAGGAGTCCTTTGAAATGGCCTTCCATGCCCAAGTGAGCTCTCATTTGAGCTGGTTTTACCACGGTGACAGCTCTGGCCATAGAACAGAGATGCCGAGGGCCTCTTGAGCTCAGGCACCCATGGAGAGAAGCAGAGCAGTTCACTGTTTTTATTAGTGGGTCTGACCCTGCCTGCACCATCCTCAGAGGGCAGGTGAGAAGGAGCCATGTATCTTCTGCAATTCTGCAACTGCTCTCACTGGTGCTGCCACGAAGGGGGACTGTGCCTGTATTTCTGCTGCACTTCAGGCTGCCGAATTTAGGAGCAAGTAGAAGGCCACTTCCCTTTGTGTGAGGCTTCCTGGGGGTTATCGCCACGCTCCCAGAGCTGGGAGGGAAGGATTATTTTGACAACTGAGACACTTGGCTCAGTTCTCCTCCAGGAAACCCCAGCAGAGCTGCTTCCACTACTTCAGCAAGCTAAGCTTAGGAGAGAGTATCGTGAAACTGATGCTGAACGTGAGGCAGAGCCTTCTCAGCATCTTGTTCTGGCCTCCAGCTGCCGAAAACCTGCCTAGAGCCTGGCTCTGGTGTCCTGGGCAGTCAGGAAGTTGCTGATGCTCCCAGCCACCATATCAGGCTCATTGAGGTGAACAAAGTGGTTCCCAGGCACCTGTATTATATGTCTGCCCTGGAAAAGAAAAGAGGACACAAAATATGAACCGGGAAAGCATTCCCTCAAGGAAACTGCCTATTGTGTGGCATGTACTGAAGTGGGAGACAATACAAAGATGGGATCTCCAAGAAGGGCTGGGAATGTTGTATGGCTGCAAATGTGCCAAGCACAAACCCATCACATAAAGGGAGATTACAGTCCAGGACAGTGAGGGAGGCAGAACAGCGATGGGGGAGCAGAGAAGTAGGCCTAGAGAGGGAGAGGGACTTTAGCAGCAGGGATGCTGTTAAGGACAAATTCCCTACTGGGGGTGCATCCATCCCCCTACTTTCTAGCAGCTGCTCTCATGGAGTGGAAAGGCGAAGATGGGGGTTGCTCTCACCTCTTTCAGGAGGGATGCAAATGCTTCCTGTAGTTTCACAAAGGTATTTTTTGGTGGTAGATTGCGTGGTACCAAGAGTCCATCTTCTCCTCTGCAAGTTAAGAGTAAGGCTCAGCACAACCCATGCTGGTGTCTGTGGCTGTCCTGCCTAGGAGTGCTCTTAGCACAGAGTGAGGCACTACACCTAGCTCCTTCCTACAGATCCATGAAGCTGTACACCAGAGCCACACTGGGGCTGCTTGCACACTGCAGGGCAGTAGGATCATACGTGGCAGTCAAGGGCACAAGGCACAACTCAGCTATTAGTGTTACTATCTAATCAAATCATCCCTGGGCATCTGCCTAGTAGTATCAGAGTGGAGACTGGTTAAATATTAGCACTCTCCCCCTACCAGGCTGTCTCCTTAACTTGTCTGAGCACATTGCTCCCTACCTCCACAACATCTTCTGCTGTTTTTCCCTCTAGCCAGCTTCTACATATCCCCCCTGTTCCTTCTCCATGCTGCTGCTTTAAACATGAATCCCAAGTTGTGCCCTGCACAGAGGGAAAGAAGGGACTGGCACAGCTGTCCTTGAGAATCAGACTTCCTGCAAAGTTAAGATCGTTGACTACTGCTGTGCTGCACGTGATGATACAGGGTGAAGACCCAGAGCCCTACTCCAAATGCTCTAGTGGACCTGCCCTCAGAGTGATGATGCTTCTAGACAGAGAGCAATGCCCAGTTACACAGGCAAAGCCTCCTTACAGAGGCCCAAGCAACCAAAACTGCACCTCCTGTCTCAACTTCTCATCTCATTTACACCGGAGGCCCTAGCAGGGCCACAAAGGCTAAAGCAAATACAGCCTTGCACATCTGCCCCTCCAAGCACAAGGGGAAAATGCACAGGAAGATGGAGAGAGGCAGCCACCCACACAGGCCTCGGCCACCTCCCCTGCAGCTCCTGCCTGCCTGGGCTGTGCAAGGAGGGCGCCTGCAGGAGCCGGCTTAGGACAGGGCTCCAGGACCCACAGGAGCAGGGGGAGCTGTGGTGGGGTTACCCAGTTGTGCAGGCCAAAGGGGTTCAGAGGCAGGTGTCTCCCTGCAACAGCAGGAAGGAGCCCATGAGGCAAGTTAGGTAGGAGTGGAGTTGTGTGAAGAGCCATGTGTCTGCCAGAGTCTTCCTTCTGCCGGAAGGGAGTGTTAAGGAGGGACTATGGGGAGGCCAGGGCAAGCCATGTGTTTCGGAAGGGAGTGTGAAGGAGGGACTGTGGGGGGGCCAGGTGTTCTCCCAGGTGCCCTTACCCCAGGGAGTCCATCTGGGAAGCACAGTGCCAGGTGGAGGAAGCTGGAGAGGCTCCAGGAGCCAGCCCAGTCCAGGACTCAGGGAAAGCTGCTCCTGTGGGAGGCACTGTGGTCTCAGTGACCTGACCCAGGGAGTCGGCAGCTGGGCTACTGCTGCAGAGTAGCGGGTGGCAGAGGACTCTCTGCTGCCTTCGTTCTCATGCTGTGCTTGAGCTGCACTCACATGATGATGAGAAGGCGGTCCTGGATCTTCTGCAGGAGCTTCACGCACTGCTCCACGGTGAGGAACTCCCGATTCTGCTGTGGGTGCAAAGGCCAGGAGAGTGGCTAAGTCAGGGACAGCAGTGGTACCTCTGAGTGCAGAGGAGGCTGCTGCCCCAAGGCTGCTGTGGGGCAGCATGGGCTGCTCACAAGAGCTGCTGGCCTTGCAGCAGCTCCTGTCCAGCTGCATTCAGTGCTGCCAATGCTGCCTGCTGCAATGCAGCGCAAATGGGAGTCATCTCACAGCACAGAAAGGCTTTCAAAGTCTTTTTGCTAAAAAAAGAGATCGGTAAAATGGCCTGGCTATCATGTTCTGGCAGTAGCACAGGCAGAGGAGGCCCTACTTGTTTAAAAGTGACACGAAATTATCGTATTATCAGGCATGAGGACTTTGCTCTGCCCCGTCACCCACTTCTTACAAGGTTGATTTGTTTGAGAAGCTGACCTGGAGCCTACATCCATCTGCTGCCTGGAGAGTTAAAACAGCAGGAAAATGTGGCCAGGAGGCCCTGGCACAGAAAGAACTGCTAAAAAAGATTCAGTAATATTTTCCAGTGACTCTGTAAGCTGAGTCAGTTAATGAACAAGTGCAAGCTCTTTTAACAGCAGCACTTAAAAGACGTGTGGCAATTAGGAAAGCAGTAAGTAAAAGGTTGGGTGGAGGCAGGGCTCAGTGAGTGGGCTCACTCTCAACTCTCCCTGTGTTTTCTGCAAGCTCAGGGCTCAGAGGCAGCAGGGGGCAAGTCAGAACAGCAATGCTCACCATCTGGGCTCTCATGTCTCTGTTATACACCAGTCCTGGAATGAAACAAGAGAAGGTTTTCATGTCTCATACAAAGCTTTCATGTGTCTGCCTCCCCTCCCCTTTGGGGTCAGCCCAAAACCTTCTCGGACAGGAGGGAGGGGATGAATTCAGGTTTCTCCCTTTTTTTGATTTCTTTTCTTTAGCCATTCTAGGACTCGAGAACCAACAGCAGTTGCTGGGACTGAGGAGCTCTGCCTCTGGAGGTAATTGCTCCCATGCAGCCTGTACAAACTCGTAGCCAGGACACCCTGTTCCCTTTGAAAGACAATGGCTGTTGGCACTGCTCTCTTCCCACATCCAGCCTTGGGCCACCGCTGTGACCAGTCCTGTCTCCAAGCAGCACGGGCCCCTTACCAGCGGGTGTCACAGTCGCTCCTCGCTGCAGTAGGACTTCCCCACTCTGCGCTGTCAGATGTGTGTTCGCTTCTAAGAGCCTGGGGGAGACATGGCAGAGAGGTTGTACTGCTGGAAAGAGGAAGAAGTGAAGCAACAGTGTCATGACAAGATGACAGCAAGCTCTCAGACTCCTTCAGAAAACAGTAGGAAGCTGGAAAGGCAAGCAAAAGGTCTTGCTTAGATTTCACACGAGGACTTGAAGTGGACAGTACAGGGACACAATTTCCCCCTCTGGTTCATGCAGGACGTAACTCCATTCAGGGTGAGGGCAGACCACAAATGCACAAGTGGACAGATGGGGACCCACCTCTGCAATGCTGCCTCGGGGCTACGTGCTTTGGGAGGCGGCTGATTCGCCTCTAGGCTCAGTAAGTTGTCGATCATCATCCGCTTTGAGATCCGCCACTCGTCAACGTCCTGAAATACGGGATACAGGAGTGAGTCCTCATTTCTAGGTGATTTTACCCCTTAACTGTGACAGGAGTTCACCCTTTAACATCCCTCAGAACTGGCATCAGTTAGGGGCGTTGTGTTAAAAATGCCCATTTCTGGAGGCAAAGGAACAGCAATACAAGCAGGCAAGGCAGGAGCAAAATAATTAAACACTGCTGTAGAGTAAGTTATCAGCCTTACCCTTGCAGCCTTTTCCTCCTTTCCCCCCCATCCCACTTTAGATTTGAGGACAACTGCTCAAAATAACAACGGAAGTTTGGCATCTTCTGTGGCTCTGACCCTAGGCGTCTGTCCCTGCTCCTGCCAACTGAAGTCTCAGCATCTGGTAGTGACAATGGCAGTTTGGCAATGTAGCTTTACATCCTGCCAGGAACAACAAAATGAAATAATAAAATAAAATAAATCCACCCATCTTGCACCGAGGTCACCCAACAAGCTGTTGGCAAATATTCAGCCTTGGCAAAGGGTTGCTCTGACAGACGTTCCGGTTCCCTTTGTACAAGGGCCTGGCACAGATGAGCAAATTTCGCTGCTACGTGATTGCAGGATGCTGAAGACTACTAAGTGTCCTACAAAGGCCTCTCTTTAAGTGGGGAGCTCTCTCTATGCACAAAGGAGCAGGTCTGGGCCTGCCAAACTGAAGACTGCTGAGAACTGTGTGCCCTGCCAGGAACTGGTCACATCTGTGGGCTTGTTTGGAAATTTTTTTGAACAAATGGAAGGGAAAAGCCCATTCCATCTCTTATTATTATTATTTATTAAAAAAAAAAAAGGAAGGGGAGGAGACATGAAATCTAACCTCTGGAGCTAGCAGAAAGCCAATACTTTCCAGCAGAATCAGCTTGTCCACCATCTCAGGATAAAGGAGACAGAACTAAGGGGAGAAGAAACATTATGAGTGGAAAAGAAAAGCTGAATATTGAGTGTTGTCTTCACCCTGCTGCACTGGAGGAAGGGCCTCCCGTTCCCTAAGACCCAAGTCACACACAGTCTGTCCCTTTATTCCTCTCCCTTGTGTTGTCCCAGCTGCAGAAATCGCAAACCCCATGAAGACAGAATGCTTTACTCACCATTGCTGCCACAGACCCACCTGCAAAGGAAAGAAGGATGCTCAGTTATGCATAAGACAATCTGGGTGGTAGGAGCTCCCCTTCCCACATTCAAAGCCACCTTGAAAGCACAAATGCCTCTTGTACCATGGGACAAAACTACAGAGCAAAGCTCTCTCAGCAGGGAGTTTACTGGGCTTTGGGCCAGCCAGACTCCCTGGGCTGCCCCAGCCCTATCTCCCTCACAGGCAGCACAGGCCAAGGGCTGTTAAAAGTTAAGTTAAAAGCTTGTAGGTACTGAAAGCTGGGAACAGAGTAGCCCTGGGAAGCAAAACCCAAATTATGGAAGAAAATATTTGTGTCTCAAGGGTGAAAGGGCATTCTGGAGTCCTGGCTCCTCACAGCAAACTCTGTAACCCACCAAGAAGGGCCCTGCCTGCCCCCCACATGGCAACAAAGCCTGTGGCACCAAAAAGACCCACTGCAAACACTCCTGCTTTAAAACACTTCTCTGTACTCAGCACTGTTTCCTCTTGGGGGAGAGGGACACAGGAACAGTTCCCACTGCCCCACTGCTGATAGTACAGGGCCTTGAAAGGCACTTGAAACACAGGTGCAAATTTTTGAATTTCTCAGTCAGGAGCCTTGTACCTTAAATGACATAATAAATATACCAACCCAGTTCCTAGAAGCACGCGCCTTTTAAGTTCATTACTGACTCACGTTTCCACGAATCTCACAGCTTACAAGAGCTACTTACCCATACTGTGACCCATCAGGGTGAACCGTTTCCACTGCAAGGCTAAGTGGCAACAGACAAAAACAGGCAGCACCATATTAGAACTAGAGCAGCAGCAGCACACTGCTTCCCACTAGCACAGGCCCCTTCCCCCAGAAGGTTTTCTTTGCTGCTTTCTTTGATTCCTAATCCAGAAATGAGGTGGATGAGCAGGCCAGCTTTAAAGAAAAAGACCATCTCCATTTTCTTGGAAGTAAAGTCAGGCAGCTCTCAAGCTCCCTCCATATGGCAACATACTAGAGCCAATTTCCACTCGTTGCCAGACACAAGACTGGCAAGAAGCAAAGGAGCCTGGCCGGACAGCTTATGCTCGAAGACAGGCACTCTGATAGAGCACCCTGTTGCATGGAGTTCAGCAAGAGCCATATGGACATAGATCCAGATATGCTGCCTTGGGGAAAGCCTGATTATGCCAAGGGAAAGGTCTTTGCACCATTCAGCACATGAAGTTCTTCAGTCCATTTTTAGGACAACTGAAGAAACGTATGGGAAAATACTGCTTCATCAGCACTGCCTATCTGAAATATGCATCATTGAGAGGGGTGTTTTACCCTCTGGCATATCAAAAAAAAAAAAGAAAAAAGAAGGGGGGAGGGGGTCTAGGGGATCTTTCTCTGCTTAATGAGGAATACAAAACTGTACACATGCCACACACTCCCCTGAGATCAGCATACAGACAAGCAGTCAGACCAGGAGTTACAAAGAGCCCAAGTTATCTCAGCTTTCAGATCTATTTGTATTATACTAAAGCAAGCACCAAGTTGCCATCCATGGACAAACAGGCACCAGAAGAGTTTCCAACTTATATCTAACACTGGTCAGAGGTTTCTGGCTGCTTACAAGACATCAAGTCTGGCAAAACTGAGCTATTTAGTTGCATCCACCACTCAACCACTATTGTTTTTCTGGGCAGAAATTTTTCCTTCCCAGGGTTTATTGTTTCTGCCTCTCACAAAACAGTGAGAAAGAGGGATGCTTATTCAGCCTGTGGTCATAACATCACGCTGGATGGAAGCAGAATGGAATTGAGCCTTCCCCCATTACTGACTGTCATCTATCAGTTGAAGGGGCAGAAGAGATATGGTACCCCTTGTGCAAACATCCCCTTGGGGGTCCTTTCAACTGCTCACCTGCTGCCACCCGGCGCACCTCGCTCACGTAATCCATAAAGTAGTAGAGCGAACCTGCAGGTCGATGGGATGACAGGCCGTGGCCAGAAAAATCCATCGCCACGTAACGGTGACCTGAAAGGCAGAAAACACGAGTCATGCAGCCCTGAAGCACGGCACAGGGCCTCCCCCACAAGCCAGGCCCACCTGCGGGCAGCAGCGGGATGAGCTTGTCGAAGGTGCTGGCGTTGTCGAGCCAGCCGTGCAGGCACAACACGGGGTGTCCTTGCGGGGGGCCCCAAGCCTTGGCTGCCACGTGGCCCCAGGGCACGGGGACCTTCACCTCTGAGGACATGCCTGCAGGGAGGGTGCTTGCGAGCAATGTCCCACGAGCTCAGAGCAGATCCCAGGGAGCTTCTGAGTGGCTCAGAGCTCTGGAAAGATAATATAGATCTTTAGTAACGCGCCAGCCTTCTGTGGTTTTAATTAGCAGCTTGCTGATTTGCATTTCCCCACTTGACATCCCAAGCTGCAACCCCTGCCTGCCTGTCTGGGGATGCCCCCTCCCAGCACGTCCTCGCGATGCTCCTAGGACAAACCAGCCTCCCTTGCTGCGGAGAAGGCAGCCTCCGCAGAGGCCCCATGCCGACACATGGGAAATGCAGCAGGAGGGAACCGAGCAGACTTCCCCCAGCTGCTGCACTGAGCCAGGCACCTGCCTCTGACCGAGCAATGGCAGGAGCAAGGACACCGTCCCGCTACATCACTGCCATCCTCTCCACCTCTTCGACACTGCTCAGCAGCTCCTAGAGAGCTGCTGGCTTCGGGACCCCGCTGCTGCCCTTGGGGACCCACAGCATCGCCCTGCTGGCCCTGCAGCCCCGGAGGGCACGGGCAGGCCTGACCCTGCCACCCACCTCCCCGGGCACCCCCAGGCCCCGGCTCAGCCCGGCGCCTGCTCCAGCTCCAGCCCCACCGCGGCCCCGTCCCACCCC